TTCTTCGGGGAGCAGGAAGAGATGCACGATGGCAAAGCAGCCGCAGGAACGGAGCCCTGCAGCTCTCTGCACAGAGGATTTTTCCCCTCGCAAGCACCTTGGAAAACATGGAGGAATCACAGAATCACAGAATGTCAGGGGTTGGAAGGGACCTCTGAAGATCATCTAGTCCAACCTCCATCCCAGCACACCCAACCACTACACCACAGCCTCAAGTGCTAGATCTACTTTTTTTTTAAACACTTCCAGGGTTGGTGACTCCACCACCTCCCTGGGCAGCCTGTTCCGGTGCCCAAAGAAGCACCCAAAGAAGTGTTTAAATCTACCACCCTCCCTTCACTCTCTTCTCAGCCAAGGAAAGACGTGAAGCAATGTTTTCTGGACTAACAGACAGTTACAGCTCTAAAGTCTTTGTCTTCTTATCCCTTGGTTATTGCATTTACATCTGTGTGAGGAGCAACTCACCTTCTTCTTCGCCGTCTTCCGGAATCGTCTCTTCCTTACGTTTTTCAGGGGAAGAGTGACTGTGACAGAGGGAACAGATTGCATGGGTCAGGCAGACGGCCTAACAAGAGAGCTGCGTGCCAAAAGGGAGAAGATCCCTTCAGGAACAGAGAGAGCACCGAAAATGCGGCAGGGGCACAGCTGGGACAAGGCAGTGGCGAGTGCCCTGCACAGCTGTGGGGATGGTTGGATGGAGGGGTTTGGTCCAGTCTCTACTCACTGCCGTGGTTCCAGATGAATTTCTTCTCTCTATCCTTGTCTTTCTTCTTGTTTGCCTTAGGGTCAGTGCTCACAGTTTGCTCTTCCAGAGGAGGGTAAAGATCACCATCCACCGTGCAAACAAGCATCTGGAATCATTGCAGAAACAGGGAAGGTGTTTATTATAACGCAAAGACGAAAGGATGTGAAAGCTTATCTGGAAAACAAACAGTGCCTGCCCACTGCGTGTCATGAGCCACAGGCACCGAGCACAGTGGCGAATTTTAAACTAATATTGCAAGAATACAGGAATTGGCCACGTTACACTGGGTGTCCAGCTGCCAAAGCGTACCAGGGTTCTCCTGGAGAGGGGAGCGAGGAATTAAGCTGTTGAGGCAGGCAAGAAGTACAGCCTATACCTGGCAAATATCCGCTGTCTTGTAGAAGGTTTTCTTGTCAATGGTTTTTAAGCTCTCGATGATGCAGGGCAGATCCACCAGCTTGGCTGCCAGGGGCACCCGGTCTACACGGACAATCCCGTGCCGTCCATCCGCTACAGAAAGCCACAGGACAGGTTAGCGCTGTCACTAAACTGAGCAATTCATTCCTTAGGTGGCAGG